TCTGAATGCATTCAAAACATCCCGCTTTTTAGATGATCCCTCTAGAATCTAGAAGAGGCGGATTCTAACAATCTTTTTTTTTTTCTAGTTACTTCGTTCTCTATTTCTATTTAAGAGAATCCTTAGGAAAAGCATTCTTCTTTCATCGAGCTAAAAAAAATATGTCGATATCTCTAGTAAACTAAAGTAATCGTTTAATAGCTATTTTGCTTCAATCTCTCCTATACAAATAAAAAAAATGGAAGATTTAGTTACGATAAAAAAAAAACCTTTCTATATCTTTCTCCATGGATCCTTTACTCATACTCAAAAAATTGGGAGTATTGATCCAATTCAAAAAACTTATGTTTTGTAATTTCATAATTCAATTTGTCAATTTCGAATTGATTCTTTTTGAATACAAATTACGATAATGTATATTATTCCTCGAATTGTTTCGTTGAGAGGTAAAGGATTAAACCCTTTTAAGATAATAAATAAAGTTTTTGATCGGAATATGAATCAAACGAGGGATCCCTTAACTAGTAAGGGATCCATAGAACGAATCGCACTTTTACCACTAAACTATACCCGCTTCAATGCGATTATTGTATATAAATGTAACTTTTGTCCAACACCAACAAGGGAATCAGAAATAGGATCATAAAAGAATCATAAAATTTATAGTGTTGACGTGTTTCGTAAGGAGATCTAATGAAATTAAGAAAAGAGGACCCATTTTCTTTTTGGATTTTGTTTTGCTAAAGTAAAGGTGTTTTGACCGATACATCTCGACAAAACTACTTAAGTTATAACATAAAAATGCATTGTGCAAGAATCCTTAGTTCCATTCTTTTTTTCTTTTTTCTTTTAGATACTTTATCGGAAAAAGGGAAAGAGTAATAAGAAATGACATTCTTATGTTTGATCTTGTTTCAATAACAAGTATTCTTTTTTTCAGATCAAATAAATCATTTTTATCCAGAATTCATGGGAACAAAAAAGGCCCGGCCGGGTTAGTACCTAGCCGGGCTGAAAATCTTTTTTATTCCTTATTCTAGAATCTATAAATAGAATATAGAAAAAATAATACTTAATAATATTCTATTAGAATAATAAAAATTCTAATTAGAATTAATTATATTATACTAATTATTTATATTAATTTATATTATTAATTTGATTATTTGTTATTTGATTTTATAATTAATAAATTCAATTAAAAAAATGAATTTGAATTTTCGAATTTCTAGAATTCATTTATATTAGAATATTTTTTATTTTAGATTCTTTATTACATTACTTAGATTATTTATTAGTATTAGATATTAAAAGAAGGTATTAGATTAGTATTAGAATTATTTATTCTATTAAATTATTCTATTAATAAGTAATAAGATTAATATATTCAAAAGATTATTAAATTGAATATTATAATATATAAATATTCATATAGAGATAAGATAGAAATATGAAATTCAATATAAGAAAAAGAAAGAAAAAAAAAAGAAAGGGCCCTTTTCAATTGGGGAGAGATGGCTGAGTGGACTAAAGCGTCGGATTGCTAATCCGTTGTACGAATTTTTCGTACCGAGGGTTCGAATCCCTCTCTTCCGTTTCCATCAATGATTTGGTATTTTATTTACCTTTTGAATTTATAGAACAGAGTCTTTTTTGTTTCTTTTTTTTGTTTGTTTGAATTTTTGATTAACTTTTATTATTATTTCTATTTTTATTATTATCTATTATTTTATTTTTATTTCAATAGAATTATAATCTTTTTTTATTATAGTTAATAGTTAAAATTGAAAGATGTAAAATGGATAATGGATAATAAGAATATTTCAAATCAAGCACAAGCAAGGAAACACACAGAAAACAAGAATAAAAAAATATTTTTTTTCTTCACGTCCCGATTACGTCCTGGATCGTTAGATAGGAATCCGAAGATGAAAAGAGAAACAAGAATCTCACTACCGTGTAAACAAAAAGTTTAGAGTAAGCATTACACAATCTCCAAGATCATAAAAAAAAGAAAGAGAATAGATTCTCCTATACTACACATGAGGATTCACACTGTAAAACTTATCTGATCTTAGAAATCAAAATTGTTAAAATGTTCGAATCTTTTTTTCGAATAAATTCTTAATTTTTCTAGGACAGTATTCAAATTAAAGATCTCATCGAAAACTTACAGCAGCTTGCCAAACAAAAGCTAAGAGAAAAAGAGTACAGGTATTACTGGCATAATATCTACAATTGGATTCAAAAAAGCATAGGCTTCAGGTAATTTCGCGAAGAAAAAACTACTTGAATAAAGAGCAGAATTAATACAAATACAGACCAAACTAAAGATATTAAGCATAACAAACATTTTGTTCTTTAAGATAATTGTATTTTTTTTCTTTTTGTTTGTTTTGTGAATTAAATTAATAAAATTAAGTTAATATTTGATTAATATAGTCTATTATTAGATTAGAATTCTATTCTGAATTTTTCTAATACTATAAATGATTTTCCA